TGAGAAGCGACTGATGAGCATAAAGTGATTAGCTTCCTGATGGTGGCAGCTCCTCCTCATCCTGCAACAGCCTCAAAATGGGATTTCTGGGAGAAGAAATGAAAACGGATCCAAAGCCTTCATTAATAACACTATTAATTAGAAGGGATGCAAATTATTGATTGAATGAATCCCATTCCAGTACTAAAAAAAGACTCAGCCAGCAGTCCTCTGTTACTATAGACCTGTTGCCCTGACATCCCACACCATGAAGGTCCTAGAGAGACTTCTGTTGGTTCACCTCAGCAAGCAAACAAGCAGCTTCAGGACCCCCTGCAGTTTGCTTATCGCCATGGGGATGGAGTTGATGATACCATCATACAGCTGCTTCCAACCAACCCACTGTCCTTTAAACGAGTCAGAAAGCACTGTGAGGATCGTGTTCTTTGATTTCTGCAGAACATTTAACACCATTCAGCCTGACTGAGTTTGTGAGAAACTCCAGAAAACTCAGGTGGAGGCATTAACAATCACCAGGATTTATCATGTCTGAGGCTTGCAGGATGGTCTGAACGACCCAATTCTGAACTTTTTAGTCCCCAAAATAAAAGGATTAACTTTCAGCTTCAGTCGCTTTTAAATGTGGTGTTAAATCAGTTTTAAAAACTATGTAAAATTTTTGCTGTCTCTCGATCAGAATTGTGATATTTCCTGATGGCAGTACTATGCAATGGTTAATGAGGATTCTGTCAACCATTTTTGTCGCCATTGGTTGGATGGAAGTTGGGGTGCAATGATTGATTGGCCGGTTCATCAATCGGCCTTCATTTCCTTGATTTTAGATAAAGATCTGCGGACATCTGATACTTAGATGTATAATTGATCTTATCTACTCCTGGAAACGTCTCAAAATCACTCACTGCCAATGCTCTAAACTTTTTAACAGCAGTTACTTTAAAGTGTTTGTTTCACATCAATTGTTAAGTGTTTTTCAGCAAGATAAGTTTGGAATATTGAAGGTGTTTTGTGATCTTATAACAAGTGATAGTATAAGTGATGTGATTAAGTATCTATCAAAATCAGAAATGGGATGTCAGGCTTTTTAAATATGGGTAACGGGTGGTCGGGGAGAAACTAGCAATCTTTGCAACCATTAATGGAAATTGTGAGTAAAGATGCCTAAAAATGGATCCAGCAAACAAAGTTACCTGGATGGAGCATCAATGCAAACAGGTAAAAAATGCCCGGTGTCTGCCAACAGCTTCCTGTCTTCCATGGTCTTATTTATGCTGTCTGACTTCCTTTTACACACCTTACTGATCTTGACAGTCCTCTTCCCTCAGTAATGGCTTCCCACCAAAGGGTGTATTGCGATTAGAATGAGGTCGGAAGTGTCTGATCGCATCGTTTCGAGGCTTATTAAGCTCAGTGTTTTCTTTCTGTTTCATTACATCAAAGTGGTTCCTTTATAACCACCTATGATTTGGGTTTAAACAAAAGGTAGATTGATAGGCGGTAAGATAAATGTTTTACTAAGTGAATTTGTAAATTGTAGTAATTAAACATGAAAGTATTTAAATTTGCATTTGGAGCTTTTTGTCAGCTCATCTTTAAATGTGACATCAGATGTTCCATCTGTGAAAATATAAGTTTAGAAGTTACGGATACAAGCTGTAATTCAGCAAAAAGTATAAATCACAGAAATTTTTGTGTAAATAAAAAAAAAAAGTTCAATAATTAGAATTACAAGAATCAAATATTTGTATATAATTTACAAGTTTATCAGTAAGAATCAAAACCTCAGTAAGGAGGTAAATTCATTGTTGTCAATTTTTTATTCCTGCTGCATTGAAATCTCTGATATAAAAAACGAATACAAATCTTATATTTATAATTTGTTTAGTTACATTTAAAAATTAAACCCTCAGAAAAATCTTTATCTTACTGCTTGTCGCTCTAGTTTAAACCCAAATCAGACGATATTAGGAACAAATCTGAAAGGATGAAAAACTGATCTGTTAATAAAGGTTTCTTTTTTGTTTAAATCAAGGCTTGAGTAACTTTTTTTAAAAGGATTATTTTTTTAGGCTCTAGTGGCCTTTATTTTGTTATTTTTGAAATTTGCAGACAGGAAAGTGGGCTACCATATAGGGTAGAGGCATTTGACAAAGGTCAGCAGTGACTCGAATGTAGAGCAAATCAGGCCCTCAAGAGCCAAAAGAGGCACGTTATAAAGTACAGACAAGTCTGCTGTTTATAAATAAAAACGATTAAATCTAGAATCTCATTTAGTGCAGCTCCAGCCAGCCCTTTTAAAGACGATGTTGCTGAAGTGGGTCTGGGTTCCAACGGGCCCTTCAGACAGGTGAACTCCCCCCACACCCAGCCTCCCCACCCAGCTGTCACAGACACCAACTGTCTCTTGGAGCCTGACGCTCAGAGCAGGATTTATTACCACACTTTGCACGCTGCGATTACAGACCCCCTATTCTTCTGATTAGCTGGCGATCCGGCTCACAGTTGTCCACGGCCATCTGTGGCCCCCGCGCCGTGTTCTTAACCCCTGCTCTGTTACCACGCTGCCGAGGGTCACTGTAGGACAGGCTATGGCGGGTGAGGTAATGTTTTGTCAGCTCCCGCTTACAGCCCGGCTGTCCTCCGCAGACACTTCTCACATCCTTTGGGGAAAAAAAAGTTAAAAATAGCAGCACTGGTACGGCTGTTTTTCCTAATAGTTTAGTCAGGAGTTTGGCTCCCGTTGATTCAGATACTTTCTGCTAGGAAAGTAAAAAACGCTCTGCTGATGTGGCTGATTAGAGCTGCTGGTCACACCTTGATGTGAATCCGTCTGCACTTTGTGTTTAATTCATCCCTTTGTTTTGTCTGTATGAAGTCTGTAAAGGAACTGAGTCACGACTCAGAGCCACATGGCTGTTGAATCATCTTTATTCGCCTCCTATTGTTGTTCCTATTCAGGGGAGGATGCAGGGCTTTGTTCGCTGTCAGCTTGATCCAGATCTGCCTTCTGCAGCCAAAGGAATTTGCTTCATGCTTTCAAAAAATGACCTTGAAGTCTGATTGGTCGGGATCAGGTTGCAGAATTCCCTAATATGGTTTAAAAAAATGTTGTGCTGTTTAAAAACTCGTCATAACTATGCCATGGATGGCCTAGTTTGCTGCGATGGCAAAGAGTGAAGCGGCCTTGTTTTTTAACCCGGTTTGTCTGGGCAAAAAGTTCTCCTGTTTCACCAACACTTTGTTTTTAGGAGGAATGCCACCATTCCGGTTTGGCCACAGAGGTGGAGGCGTACTCCCTACGCTCACACCTCTCAGTGAAGCGAAGCCCAATCTGCCCGGGCCTGAAGCTAAAGGACGGGAAGAAGGGGCCGACCCAAAAAAAAATCCCCCCTTTTTTTTCTCTCCCTGTGATTTTCAGACGGTTCGTAGGAACACAGAGGTTTTTGTTCTGCTCCATAACCAGTTGCGTGTCAAAGTGTGTAACTTTCCTGCTTTAAATGGCTCCTTTTTCTCTCTAAATGTTGGGTTGCCACTTGAACCCGAACTTGGCTTTTAATTACAGCTGCTGGGCACAAATGAGGGATTTTAAAAGGATAAAAATGTAGGAGGGAAAAAAAAAAACCCCGATGGGCTGGTGTCTTTTTTTTTCAAACTTTACTTTTGCTTCTTATTCAATTACAGTAGTTATGAAAACAATAGCGTAACTGTCAAAAAAATTAGGGTTTGTAAACGTACAACAATAAACGTGAATAAATGTATGATATGATTTTGTTCCTTGTTGTCATTTGGGCATTCATGTGACATAAAATGTTTCATTAATGAGAATAAAAGTTAAAGTTATTATTGCAACAATGGGATACAAATCACAGATTTGTGATAATGAGTCTACAACTGTACCCAATTATTTTGGAATATGTGCTGATAAATTGCACTGATGGTCCTTAAAGGGCAGTTTGGCGCCCATGTATGGCGTGCCCCAGGGCAGCTGTGGCTACGGTGTGGCTGGCAACGATCATTGAGTGAGTTAATGTGCGAATGACTGGATGTAGCGTGAAGACCGTTGAGAAAAGGTGCTATAGAAGTACTGACCATTATCATTGGTCTGGAATTGGTACTCGTTGATTTGGGAGTTTTTCCGCTTGGTTTTGGGAGCTTTTACGCTTTTTTTAGAGCTTTTCACGCGCCGCTTTGGGAGTTTTTTCCACTTTGGGAGTTTTTTCGATGCCACATTGGGAGTTTCGGGAGAAATTTTTCTATAAATGCAATTTAAAAAGTTTTTTTTTGTTTGTTTGTTTTATAGCATTTTTTCTCTTTGAATCTGAGATTAAATCCAGTTCCAGATTAACATCCATTAGATCTTTTAATGGTGCTTCCTTTACACCATTTCACTTTTATGGATATGAAAGTTGCTTCGGGAAAAGGATAAGGTCGATCAGAAACACAGAAAAATTTTTCATCTTGAAATCTCTGATACCAAACAAAACATTTTCAAAGTAGAGAAGGAAACCAGGTTGGAGATTATTGGACATCAGAGCAACAATTACTTCCAAAGTTCTCAGCATTTACGTCCCCAAAACACATAATTCAATGTCTGTGGATAAAGTTTACAGAAGGAACAGGAAATATCTTATTTCAGCAGAAAGTGCCTGTTGGAAAACATTTCTGAACTGATTTTAATTGGAGCGTCTTTATTAGAGAGTTCCAGTAGGATCCATGCTGGCTCTCCTGGCCTCGTTATCGCAGTGTTGGCTTGTTGCATCACAATGGAGCTAACAGGAAATTACTCTGACTGGCTTATACAAACAGGCCTGGGAGAGGAAAAGAGCTAAATGGAGTAGTTGATGTAATTAGGGGGGTGGTGGTGGGTGAAGATCTGGGAGGTAGAGCTTTGTTTTTCTTGTATTTTTTTTTGTTGCACTGAAGACTGCAGATAATGGAAAAGTGTTTGTGATGCTTCCTCCTGTGGTTTTAAACCCTCACTGATGTCTCTGTTCTCTCCGCAGTCGCACCTTCCTCTGGCTGACCACCCCTGGTCAATCACAGAAACATGTCTGGCAAAATAACAAAAGAGGAGGAGGAGGAGATGAGGGAGGTCTTTGCAAAAATCGGTGAGTAAAGAAAATTTGGCTTCATCTGTGGTTTTAAGTCCTTCTCTTGCTTCAACTCTATGTGGACGTACTGTATATAATGTATACAATTTTCACCCCTACTATATATATTTCACTGTAGTTCTTTTTTTATGCCTGTGGAGGGTTAAGTGCAGATTCAGTAGGCGTTTCCTTCATGTGTCAGATTCATTGGGTTTATTTAGGTTGCTTACCATGAGTTCTTACGACTTTGGTTTAGATGTAGAGCTTTCATAAATGAGGGATTAAGTTACAACAACTTTGGGTCTATGTTTAACCTATATCATTAAATCAGATTAAATGCTAAGTGAAATCTGTAGATGGCGGCTTAAATGAAACGAGAGTATGAATATATTTAATTGCTGAGAGAATCGATATAAAATTCAATCTGAACATGTTTCTAAATTTACAACCTGCTTCATAGTCAACGATCACAAGCCAATATTTACAGGAGTGTGGAGTTAATTTTATTCCAACATTGTTGCAGCCAAAGAACACATTTATAAATGGTCATTTAAAAATTTTCAATCAAAAATTTAATTTTGAAGCAAACTCTTAGAAAGCTTATTTATTTATTTATTTTTTTTTACTATTTTTTTTTCTAATTATTTCTTATTTTGTGTTTTCCAGGTTTTTTTTCTTTTTTTTTTTCTTTTTCAATTTTTTTCTCATTTTATTTTTCCCAGTTTTTGTTTTTAAATATCTCTTTTTCATTTGTTGTTTTAACTTTAGGATTTTCTTTCTTTTCAAATGCCAGTTTTCAGATCATATTGTCTTAACTTCTGGGGGCGGGGCTTCCTCCGGAGAGAGGAGCAAAGACTAATTTCTATTGGTCTGCTGGATGCTGGATACAAATTTTTATTGGTCAATGTGAGAGTTTCTTTGGATGTAAAGTGAAGAGAATGTGATCTTTAAAAAAAATTGCTTGAAATGATTGAAATTGGTCAAACTCAATTTAAAAAAAAAAAATTTGAAAACATTAAGTCTGTTAAAAAATATATTAAAGTTTGTTTAAAAAAAAAAGTTTGGAATGTAAGATATTGGAATCGACAAAGTTAACTTAAAGTTAAACCTAACTTTTTTGTTAGGAATTTTTTCAACGTTTCATTCCTGGATGCCATTTTTTTTAGCTGCATTTACAAAACCTGTTTTTATCAAATATTTTGGAGCAAAATTTAATCCATACCTAAGTGTGTATTTGTTCACTCAAGTCAACAAGCATTAATGGCAGACAGGATAAAAAAAAGGAGTAACAGCCATCAGTAGGAGACATCAACTTAACTTTGTTAGTTAGAAGACTTCAGAGAGATGCAAAACTAAACCGTCCCTGGCTATAAATATTACTAACATATTACTTGGTGATGGATATATCAAATGTCTTAAGTGATTGTTTTGTAGGTGTCGTTTTCAAAAGACACGTACCTGTGTTTTGTTTTGTTTTTTCTCCTTGTCCTTTCCATTAAACAAATGATGATAAAAAATCAATCAGGCTGGTGGTGAGAGGTGAAACGGTGATGCCTCCATTTAGCAGCTCTGACACCGAAGCTGATAACTGCCAGATTCAGCTCTACTCCAGTATCGGTCTCACTCTGTTTTTTTTCCCCCTCCAGATCTGGATCACAATGGATTCATTTCCGATTATGAGCTCGGTGAGCTTCTTAAAGAGGCCGGCCACGCCCAGCCAGGATACATGATCCGAGAGATTCTGCAGAAACTGGACCGCGACAGGGACAACAGCATCAGCTTCACAGAGTTTTTGTCTGTAAGTGAAGCAAAGCTGCTGATGTTTGTTGAAAATCTGATCCATCCTACAGATGTCTGTGTTTAAACAGAGCGCTGAGTGGAAAAATAAAAAAACTACAGAAAACACACAGACCTAAACGTACAGGAATGTGGGAGGAAAAAGGACCTTCCTGTTTGTCAGGCTGATGTCGGATCAGTCGGTAACGGTGGTGACCTGCTGCTCTCTGCTCTCATGGCTCAGTTTCTCCAGAAAGGTGGACTCCTTGAAGTCGGAGATGTTTCTGTGCTGCTGGAGCAGCAAATAAAACCTTTCCAACCTCCAAACCTCTGTTTGGGATTTTAAGATGTAGATCAACACAAAGTAGAAGCTGAGAAGTGAACGAAGTTTTAACAGCTAAGGTTAGGTATCAAACCCTCTTACTCTGATCACTTTAGATAAAATCCCTTCAATGTTTTATATGATTAGAATTCAGCAGAATCTTACATACATGGTGAAAACTACACATCAAAACTGAAATCAAAGTAAGCTGGTGTTTCATAACAGGAATGCATTTTACAAAAATGTATTGAGTTGATTTTCCAAAAGAAAAAGATAATAAACATTTAAAATAAGACAAAAATATATATATTTCTAGTGCATGTAGTTAATTATTTTATGTTAAGTATAACAATACTCCTTTTATTTACAGATCATGTTATTTAACTGCTCACATTAGGAGGAAACGCTCTTATATTAAGTTTTTTTTTTTTGTTTTTTTTCCATCCAATGACTGAGGTTGAGAATGCGAGTAGAGATGAACTGCTGGTGTTCACAGGACGCTGAGAGAGCGGGTTAGTCATAAGGGAGTAATGGACTGCTTCACAGACAGGTTTTTACCCCTTCTAGTCCAGTTTAAAGACACGTTGACTGATTTGTGTATTTATTTGGAAAAAGTGTAAATTTAGCCAAAGTGAATCAAAAGCTATGATTAGCTTGTGGTCCAGGTCGTCTAATGGAGGTGACCGGCCGCTGGAGGCCAGAAGAAGTCCCAGCTGGCGTCCTGCATCCCTTTAGGGATAAAGTCTGTTGTGACTTTCAGTCACTTTGAGGTCTGATAGTTGACTGTTATGGAGTGGATTTTGTTCCAATATATTTGTAAATGCAAATTTAAAACAATTTAAAAATATTCTTAAACATAGGAAAGGATTGGATAGAAAAGTTTTTTCCGTTGTTTTTTTTCAACAAATAAATTTTTTTACCAAATGAAATGTCTTAAATTTCTCTTTTTCAGACTGTGCTTTTTTTTTTTACTTCATTTTCCAGATCACATTTGCTTCATTTCTGGGGTGAGCTTTCCTCTGGAGCGAGGGATGAAGAGGCACATTTGTTTTGGTCAATGAGAGCCGTAAAGAGGAAAAAAAAAAAAAAATTCATAGAACTCGATCTGAAAAAGAGAAATTTGAAATTTTTTAAAAATAAATCTGATTAATCAATTATTGAAATAATCGTCAGATTATTCATTAATCGATTAGTCATTAACTGGAGTAAAGAAACTTTAGAATATGCCTTTAGCTGACAGCGACCCACTTAGAGCAGTAATTATATCAAGATTGTAAAAAAAAAAGTAAACATTTTACATTTAAGATCAAACGTTTTCAACCATCAATATGCTCTCTCCAGAAGTTTTGGTTTCATCTGATTTAATTGTTTAAAAATTCTTCTTTAAGGAACCTTTGGGTATCTGATTATTAATCGTTTAATTGAAAACATAATCAACAGATTAATCAGTTTTCAACATAATTACGTTTTATGTCTGGATTTCATTGCATTTACATTTACAAAATTTGTTCTTTGCTTTCAACAATAATGGAACAAATGTTACTCCATACTAGGTGATTCATTGATTGGCCTGTAGCTGCAGGAATCTCCATCTGATGGTTTTGCAAAGACCTAAGATCCTAATTTTCATTTTTTTTTCTGCTTTTCAGGCCTTTGGGGTTTTTTTTATAAAAGAACCGTATATATTTTTATCAGATATAGCCTTGTGATCGTTATCCTGGCCCTCATAGTACCTGAACATTTAACTCTTGGTTGCTGAATCACCAAATCCTTTCAGCCCCTGTGGAGCAGATTAGCTTTTATTGGAAGTGTTGAGGAAAACCTCCAGGCTGGGGATCAATAAGATGACCTGGAAGAGACCAGAGCAGATCCTGGAATCAGGATCCCAGGTGCTGAAAGATCATCTTTCATTCTTTGACTGTTAAAATAGCAAACCAGGGTCCAGGTGGACTGGTTTTATGCTATATCTATTTTGGTCTTTCAGGTCAGAGCTCTTCAACACTGATTAGTAAAGCTAATGTCTGCTTTTATTCCTAAATGGTTTACAGCTTCAGTTTGCAGCTGTGACAGAAGATTGAAATGGAAATTCCCAGAAGTGGGCTCTTGAGTCACATGACTTGGACTCCAGTTATTAATTTTATGATTTTTAGAAAGTGATCAGAGGCCTGGGACTTTTTCACTGGTGACTCTGGACTTAAACCATTTCCCTTGTAAATACTTCAGTTTATAGCCTAAATCTAAAGTTCAAAACTGCTTTTGTTTAAAAAGTGTGCAGCATTAATTAATATTCTTCATCCTGTATTAAACTCTGACTGTCTTTCCCCTCTCTGGACGCATGTGTCCGTAAGCTGCAGCACAGCATATATATAAAAAAACATCTTATTTTTCTATTTTTGCAGTGTACTTTAGATGTGGTCCCACCTTCAGAAATGTATCTGGAACAAGTTTCTTTGAGAATGATGATGAGATGGAATGAGCTGGATGGGGTGACAGTTGCATCGGATGCAGGAGTTTGCAAACTTGTAGGTTCAGGCTCCGGTTCCGGTGTAGGTACCAGATCTGCTCGGGGCCCTGCCCCGTCTGATGATACCATCATATGGCAACCACACCCGGAAAAACTGTATTGCACCCATTTCTTAAGAATTATATCTCCTCTGGAGTATCAACATATTCTTACACATATTTGCTTTCATTTTTACATTTCATCTGTGATCTAAAGGAGCCAAAAGTAGAAAACAATCATTCTGAGTCTTGAAGGAAAGCACTGCATTCTAAGACCGACTGAGCTCTGCAATTTAACAAGGTGACAAAAGAATTGTCAGAGCTTCTTTGCAGTAAGATCTGAGGGTAGGGGACAAATGGAACATCTTAAAAATGACTTTAGTAGAGTATGCTGATGAAAATTCTCAGTCATCCAGGTCATAGTCATTCCATACAATGACTTTAGTAGAGGTTTTAGACAAAGAAAACAGTTATTCTACTTGAAGAAAACAAATGGTTGTAACACAAAGTTAAAAGCAGTGTAGCTTAATATTGATAACTGACCGAGCTAAATGGGGCTAACCTGTTAGCTACAGAGCAAAGCTAGCCACAGCGCTACTCAACTCTCCCCCTTTATATCATGGTTTAACAGTTACTTTGTTCACCATAAACATGATTATCCCTTGTGGGTTGCGAGGGGTGCTGGTGCCTATCTCCAGCTGTCTACGGGTGGGAGGCGGGGTCCACCCTGGACAGGTCGCCAGTCAAACACGGGGCAACACGGAGACAAACAACCATTCAAGTGCACACACCTATGGAGAATTTAGAGAAGCCAATTAACCTAACATGTTTTTGGACTGTGGGAGGAAGCTGGAGTACCCGTAGAGAACCCATGCATGCTCCAAGAGAAAGATCCCGGGCCGGAAATGGAACCCGGAACCTTCTTTCTGCAAGGCA